AAAACCGAGAGACAAGTTTGCAACTGCTGACTTGCAAGGCTTCAAATATGTGACTACACAAGCTAGTGTCATCCACACCATTGTTTCAACAAATTCAGAGACACTGGATCAAAAATGTATCTGAAACACATGCCTATTAGAGAGGAAAGCAAAACAACAAAAACTGTCCCTCCAGCCAGTGCTCTGTAGTCACGAGTTCCATTCAGACCATCTTTGAAACAGCTGTGGAGAGCCTCAGCAAATGCTGTGATGGCCAGTCGTTTCCTGGCACTCAGAAACCTTGACAGATATCGGTACACCCTTGTTGGGTATATGCAGAGAAGGAGGGACGGAATCAGCGTGATACATGTGAAAAAAACTACAGCGGTGAGTGCGTATGGGATAGAATCCGTCCACTCCACTGTAGGATCAATGTAAAGGACTTCACTTTGAATAAGCCCAACAGAGTTGTATACTGTAACAAAATTCACCATCTGATATGAAGCAAACATCACGGAAATATTAGAAAGGAAGATGAATGACGCAAAGGCACGAAACACAGCATCGCTAGTCACTCCTGTAATGTTGGTCTTACTGAGAATGATCTTAAAAGGCTTCCACAGAATTTCAACAATTCTGTATTTTCTTGCATGCAGCTCCATCAGAACACAGGAGATTATGACCAGGACAAGTGGGTAAATGGCTGGTATTAGATTAAGCACATGAACATGGATGGCAGTTAGTTTCTCACTGATACAAAACGGTGGAATTATGACCTTGAAAAAGTTTAAGCTCCAAAACTCAGACACTGCCACTATAAAGTCTAGCAATAATCTCAGAGATAAAGCCACGTGATTGTATATGTAGCCATACAGGAAATAATAATGATAAGTTCTGATTGCTGCTGTTGCCTGACAGAAAAGCACATATCCCAGAAGTGGGCCTGAGGTGATGTTTAGACGACTGACAACGAAACAAATTAAAATGAATGTTGTTGGAACAAACTGAAAAAACAGATATAGACAGATGGCATATCCTGACCAGAGACTTGAGCATTTGGCACATTTCTGGTCAAATGAATAAACAGCAGGACCGTAGCCTTCCTTACACTCCCCACACAGCAAACCTCTTCTGTTGTAAGGACCACACATCACCTCATCCAACTGGCTAGCATTGCTGGGCATCTCTGAATACAATCTGTTGCTACTGTTGACAGTGTGTGCTAATGGACAAAAGCCAACATAGTAATCACCGTCTTCCCCCAAGGGTGTTGCACAGCAATCATTTCTGATGTCCACCTGGTTGCTGTCACTGCTACAGGTCAACCACTTTCCACACTCACACTGTCCTGTGGCATTGTGGTAGTAGTGCCAGGTTGGGCAACTTGTGTTAGTAGCCAACACTGAACACATTGTGAGGAAGCAGTAGGTCCATGTTACCAAAGACATTGTCCAGATATAACTGATAGAAACTCGATGCTGAACATTTATATAGAGACACAACTGACTTTTGGGGCTCTCTCTGCCTGGGGTTTTTCATAATTGATGTTTTGGCTTGAAAACTGAAAGAATAACATGCCATAAAAGACTCTTTAACCCACCGCCCCGGTTCTCAAGGCTGGGCACCCAGTGTCCTGCTCTCATGTCATGTCATGTGTTTTTGTGTATGTGTTTTGTATGGATATTTTGGGATTTGTGGATATATGTTGGTGGTGGTTTTTATTTTTATCTATCTATTATATCTATCTACCTATGGCTGATATGCTATGAACTATAATTTCATGCACCACTTAAACACATTTAATGCAAGTGATATCTTTGACTAATTGGCTTGGCTCAACTCAACCTTGGTGTATAAAACCATTGCTAGTTAAAAGGCAAAAAAACCTTGCTCAAATAGCACTATGAAGCCACTATGTATTAACGATTCATTTTTCTGCACAAACAATGGAGCTGAAGAAAATAGCATCTCCTGATGTCTTCTACGTGCAGAGACGCATGTTTCCTACATTTGCCATAGCAAACAGTTTTCTCAGGGGAGCAGTGGATCTGTGTTGCCACTGTACTAGACAGGGTACTAGGTAGTCTCTGTCCACTTCGAGAGTGTGGCAGTGAGAATGAGGAAAATCATGCTGTGGGAAGTGCACAATATTCTCAGCGATTAATTTGTGCCGTGCTTGCTGGGTTACACCATAAGTTACAATTTGCTGATAAGCATTTTGTTGCAAAGTCTTTTACTTTCATGGCTCCACCCCTTACAGTTGCTGGCAGAGCTGGAGAAGCTGGTGGAGCCAGTAGATCGAGAGCAGTTCACGGGCCTCCCGTCCTCTCTGGAGAAGAGACAAGTGGAGTTTGGAGAGAGGAAGGGGAAGGTTGACGAACTGGCGACCCAGTGCTACGACCACACCTCCTCTCTCATGAGACAGCTGGAGGGAGTCATGCGGAGCTCCAGGGACGCTGGTCATCCTGTCAGCTACACCAATAGCATCAGGGTAGGAGATCTTCTTTCTTTGTAACCCTCCCTCCTTCCCCTAATTCCCTCCCCCATCCTCCCGAGGAAGAGAGAGGAGAGCGGGGGGGGAAACAAGGGGGAGAAACGCGAGATGGGGAAGAGAAAAGACAAAAAAGAGACGAGGAAGAAAGGGGGGAGGGGAAAACAAGACAGGTAAGGGAAAAAAAGCAGAAGAGGAGAAGAGGGGAGAAGAGGAGAAAGAACGCAGGGCAGGGCAACACGAGAAGGAGGGGCGGGGGAAAACCGCGCGCGCTCCCCTT